TGAGTAACTTGACCCATCTCTAAGGTAAGCTTTTATACAGAGAAACCATAACTATGGGTGAAAAGTTGAAGCTCCCAAGCTTACAGGTGCAAAACCCCCTTAACAATTTCTAGTCTACTAAGCAACAATTACTATTTTGCAGAAGTGAGTCAAGCAAAAACCTACAGAAGCCATAAATCTGTAGTTAGCAGGTGCACTCTGAAACACACTGACCTATTCCCAAGATAACTGGAGCCCTGCTGATATGTGTTCCCATACCCTGGACCAGAACTGCCTGATAATTTCAGAGACTAGAGTCAGCCTAAACTTTAACATGGTGTAGCTATGGTGAAGAAGGTGCCATATCATAATCTCTTCTGATTAGTTTTAGTTTGAAGTCTATTTTGTCAGATATTAGAATTGCATCTCCTGCTTTTTTCTTAGTGCCGTTTGCCTGGAATATGTTTTCCATTCTTTCACCTTAAGTTATCGCCTGTCATTGAAGGTGAGGTGGGTTTCTTTCAGACAACAAAATGATGGGTTTTGTTTCTTAATCCATTCAACTATCTGTGTCTTTTGATTGGGGAGTTCAGTCCATTGATATTTAAAGTTATTATTGAGAGCTGTGTATTGAGTCCTGTCATTTTGATTTCTGTTTGCATTCTTGGGCTAAATGTGTTTCCACAGTTATACCTTGATTTAGGTTTTTTCTGTTACCGCTTGGGTATAGTCATTCCTTTTTTCAGCTCTTTGTATTGCTTCAAGTATTCTCTGAAGATCTGGTTTTGTGGACATTAATTCTTTCAGTATATATGCATCATGGAAGATTTTTCTTTCCCCTTCAAATATAATAGATATTTTCACTGGGTAAAGTATTTTGGGTTGGCATCTGTAGTCATTTAGAACTGGGAATACTTTGGTCCAGGCTCTTCTGGCTTTTACAGTTTGCACCAAAAAGTCAGCTGTAATTCTGATGGATTTTCCTTTATATGTGACTTGTTGTTTTCAGTATTGTCTCTTTGTTCTGTACGTTTAGTGTTTTTACTATGATATGCCATGGGGAGTTTCTTCTCTGGTCCTGTCTAGTTCATGTTCTATGTGCTTCTTGTATTTGTATGGGCATGTCTTTCTTTAATTTTGGGAATTTTTTTTCTATAATCCTGTTGAAGATCTGGTCCATACCATTATCCTGAGATTCTTCTCCTTCCTCTATGCCTATGATGTGTAAATTTGGTCATTTTATTGTGTTGCACATTTCCTTTATGTTCCATTCTTGTGTTTTCTTAAAATTTTCATAATCTTTGCTTAAGCAGTCTAATTCATCAATTTTATCTTAAGCCAGTTCGGTATCATGTAAACAATCTAAAAAACATAAGTACATACATACATGTGTGTATGGGTTTCTAGTTCGCTTTCAATTGCTATAATAAAAATACTGACAAATAGCAACTTGGAGAGGAAAGGCTTTGTTTGGCTTTCAGCACAGTCCATCATCAAGGGAAGCCAAGGCCGGAACTCAGGGCAGGAACCTGGAGCACAGACCATGGAGGAATGCTGCTTACTGGTCTGTTCCTTTGACCTGTGCTCAGCCTGCTTTCTCATACAGCACAAGACCGCCTACCTAGGGGTGGCATCGCCCACAGTAGGCTGGGCTGTCCCACATCACTCAAGAATCAAGAAAATGCCTCATAGACAAGGCTATAGGCAAATCCAATGGAAACAATTCCTCAGTTGAGGGGCCCTTTAACCAGGTGTGTCAAGTTGACAACTAAAGCTATCTAGCATAATTGACTCCTTGTCATTTGGCGTAGAGACACACCGCTATTAAACCACAACCTTTCCATTTCTTCTCACCAAGATATGATGTTAATATTAATATCACAACATAAGACAGCACAACTTCAAAAGTCCCACAGTCCTTAAAAACTCAAACATTTTAGCCGGGCATGGTGCTGCATGCCTTTAATCCCAGCACTCAGGAGGCAGAAACAGGAAAATCTCTTTGAGATTGAGGCCAGCCTGGTCAACATAGCAAGTTCCCAGCCAGCTGAGGCTACAGGGAGACCCTGTCTCAAAAAGACCAAAACAAAACAAAACAAACAAACCTCAAACATTTTAAAAGTTCAAAGTCTCTTTTAAAAGTCTTTTAACTGAAGACTCCTATGAAACCGAAAACAAGTTAAGTACTGTCTTATTTCAAGAGGGAAGAATCAGGCACACTTAAGCAAAACCCACGTCCAGAAAAATAGCTCAAGGCTGAACATCTGGGATTCACTCAGAATCCTCTGGGCTCCAAAGGGTATTGGCATTTCTACTTTTCTGGCTCTGCTATCCACAGCACACTCAGCTTGTCATATAGGCTCAAGCTACACCTTCTGCTGCCCTTGGTGGTTGTCCCCTGGTCCTGGTATCTCCAATATCCTGGAGCATCTACTGAAACTGAGGTGGCACCTTCACCAATGGGTTCTTCTGGCCTCCAGGGTACAAAGCCTCAGATTCTCTCCATGACCCCTTTATGCCTTCAATACCACAACCATATAGGAAATTCTTACACATTACCAAGTCCTGCTTCCAGCTTGAGATGGAAGCTTGGGCCCCCTCTAGACCACAGCTTCTGTGTGGTGATCCTGAGGAAGTACTTCCCAGAAGATTTTTCCACAATGATGATGGTCTTTTGTTACTCATCTGATTTTTCAGCCCCAGTGGACCAGAAACCTCATATTCTTAATACAAACAGTCCTGATAATCTTTGCTTTCCTTTGAAGCTCCATAAGCCAGGCCTCCATGGTCTACACATCTTTCAGCATTATCTTCCAAGTTCCTACAGAACATCTTACCAAAATCCAAGCAATTTCCCAGTCCAAAACTCCCAAAACTTTCACAATCTTCCTAAACATATATGGTTTGGTCTGTCACAGCAATACCCTACAATCCTGGTACCAACTTTTGTTTTAGTTTGCCTTCAATTGTTGTGATAGAAACACTGACCAAAACCAACTTGGAGAGGAAAGGCTTTATTTTATCTTACATCTCCTAGGTCACAGTTCATCACTGAGGGAAGTTAGGACAGGAACTCAGGGGCTGGAGCACAGACCATGGAGAAACACTGCTCATTGGCCTGTTCCTTTGGCCTGTACTCAGCCTACTTTCTTATATAACACAAGACCACCTTCCCAGAGGTGAACCCTCCCCCATCACCCAACAATCAGGAAAATGCCCAGTGGAGAAAATTCCTCAACTGAGGTTCCCTCTAACCAGGTATGTCAAGTTGACACTAAAGCTATGCAGCATGGGGAGAAGGGAGAGAGAAATGAAGACAGTTTATTAAGAAAGAAAAAAAATGAGTGTAGTGGGCTAGTGAGCTAGGGGAAAGACAAATGCTCAAAAGCACTGGGTCACAAGTTATTTTATAGATCATTTATGTAACAGCTGCCTGTTACAGCTGAGGCTGTAAGAAAGAGGCCTGGACAGCAGCCTGGTGCATATCATGACATTTTCTTTCTCCATACTTGAAAGGTTCTTCAGCACTGTCTTCTGTAAGCTCAACATAGAGCTTCATCATCCTGCACCCTTGAGAGCTGTACAAGGAAAGGGTCTGAGCTTGGAGAAGGCAGCTCCTTATATCAGAATCAAAGCATAAGCAGGCTGAAAATTGACAGCCACCTCCAACAGAACTGAAATGGCAAAGCTGACTCTACTTTATTCTAGCTGACTTTTGCTTCACCCTGTGTTCCTGCCTAGCCATCTGCCCCACCCCCTCACTCTAACCATAGTCCATCAGGCGGAACTAGTCCCATGAAGGCTGCACCTGCACTCTCAGGGGGTACATTATTTCTACAACATTGGGAAAATTTCAACTATCCCAGTAGCATGTCCTCCCTCTCAGCTATACCTGCATCTCCATGGAGCTCATTGTTTCTATAAACCAAAACTTTGTTAACTGAAAACCTCTTTGTTAACTGACCTGACCCTGGACTAGTGTGACTGATCTAATGTAACTATGGTTATTGGCATTTCCCTCTGGCATGGTGTAATTATGGTTTTAAGGTTTATAAACCCCACCCTGCCCTGCCCCATGGTCAAGAGTTCTTTTGGGTGTTATCCCCTTCTTGACTGTTGGCTAATAAAGGACTCTTAATTTGACCATCACTATGTGGCATTCCTCTGTGCCTTGTACTCATTACAAGAACTAGCTGGGGAAACATGTTGAGAGAGCTGAGCAATACCCCCTCAGGATCCAAAATGGAATCTCTAAGGCTGAAGGGAGCTGGAGTATTTATATGAAAATGTGCAATAGTCATTGAATAACTGGGGAATTATTTTCTCATTACTTCAGTCTGAAGAAAGCATTACAGAAACTGAAGAACGTTCCCAGCAGTGATGATTTATACTGGTTGTCAACTTGAGAAGGTCTTAAATCACGTAGGAGACAAGTCACTGGATATGTCTGAGAGGGAGTTTCTAGATTTGGTTAATTGAAGTGGGAAGGCCTGCCGTAAATACGGGTGCACCATTCCCTGATCTGGGGTTCCAGACTGAATAAAAAGGAGAAAGTGAGCCGAGTACTAGTGGTCATCTTTCCCTGCTTCCTGACTGCAGTTGTAATTTTATCAGCTGCTTTACACTAAGGCTGCCATGCCTTCCCCACCATGATGGGCTGCACCCTAAAATCCAAATAAACCCTTCCTCCCTTAAGTTGCTTTTGTTAGGTATTTTCTCAGTAATGAGAAAAGCAATACACTAGCTAAAGGGTTTCAGGGAGGTGGATAAAAATCTGGCAGGTGGAAACAAAGTGTATAGAGATGTGATCAAGTCCCAGGGGACAAGGCAGCTATGACATCACAATGAAAAAGCTCTGATTTTTGTGTTTGGTTTTTTGAGACAGGGTCTTCCTGTTGCCCCAGGTGGTCTGGAACTAGCAATGTAGACCATTATGCCTGGCTTGTTTTTTTTCCCCCTAAGGAAGATGGACTAGATTAATGAGAAATACCCCAGCCCTGAATGTATCCCACATCTGGTAATTATATTAAATTTCCAAGGTTGGAGAAGTTTCTGTTTTCACGCAAGGCATCATTCCAGCCATTTCCAGAGAATTCTGCACAGTCTTCATCCCTGACATTGTTGGGTTCCCCTCTGTTCCAGTACTGCTGAAATCTGCAAAGTCAGATTGTGTTGGTTAGTTTTAACCATCAACCTGACATAATCTAGAATGCCTTGGGTAGAGAGAGCCACAATGAGGGATTGTCAGGATTGGGTTTGTGTGTGAACATGCCTGTGAAGGATTTTTCTTTACTGGGTTAGTTGAGGTGGGAAGCACCACTCTGTCAGTGGCATCATTTTACAGGCTTAATGAAAAGGAGCTAGAAAGCTGAACACTGGTAAGCATGCTGCATTCGTTAGTTCTCTGCTCTTGACTATGATGTGACTAACTGCTTACTTTCTTTTTAAAATTTATTTTATTTTTATTTTATCTGTATGGGTGCTTTGTCGGCATGTGTAAGTGCACCATGTGTGTGCAATGCCCACAGAGGATCCCCTGGAACTGGAGTTACAATTGGTTATGAGGGGCCATGTGGGTGCTGGGAATTTAACCTGTGTCCTCTGCAAGAGCAGCTAGTGCTCTTAATTGCTGAGCCATCTCCCAAGCCCCTGCTTCAGGTTCTTGCCTTGACTTCCCTACAGTGATGGAATAACCTGGAATTGTAAGCTGAATAAACTCTTTCTCCCTAAGTTTGCATTTTTGAGGGTATTTTATCATAATTGAACCAAAATTAGGACACCAGCCCATAAACATTAATCTGCCCCAGGGCCACACTATGAACCAAGATTTTAGCTGTGGGAAACTTGATGCCTTCACAATCTCCCTCAATGCATGTAGCAGACACACTTTGTTCTGGACCCACCAACATGCCTGAGTCATTTGGCTTTGGATCCTGACTCTTGCCATGTCCTGTGCTTGTGAGGCTGTGGTTTTCTAATGTAACAGCCTCCAACCACCTTCCTTACTGACTTCCTGCACTTTGGATCACTGTATACCTGCCCTGAGCTGAGTACCCGAGCTGAGTACCAGATAACCAGGGGGGCTCCAATGCAAAACTCTGAAATGTTGTAAGCTAGATGATGCTAAGCTTGTCTCTCCTGTTCTTTCCCTTGAACACAAAACAATCAAAGCGCTGTCCCTCTGCTTCTATCCTGACTTGTGGTGGTCCTTCCCCGTGTGGATCTTTGTGATGTGCTGTGTACTCCCTCCCTTGGGATTTCGGGGGTCATAATAAACTATCTTTTCCTTTTTCTTCCCTCCCCTCTCCTCCCTTCCCCTTCCCCCTCCTTTCCTCCCCGCCTCTTCCCCCTTTCCTTTCCCTTTCCTTTTCTCATCTCCCCTCCCTTCCCTTCCTTTCTTTGTGTTTTCTTTTTGAGACAGGGTCTCATGTATTCTAACTAGGCTGGCCTCAAACTCACTATGTAGCTAAGGATGACCTTGAACTTCTGATCTTCCTGCCCTGCCTGTACTTCCCAAGTGCTTGGATGACTGGTGTGTAACACCATATTTGGTGTTCATGGTGCTGGAGATGGAACCCAGGGCTTTAGCACACCAGGGAAGCACCCAACAACCAGCTATATTTCCAGCCAAACAAACTAATATTTTAATGATCATAGTCCCCTTAGCTAATGGCCTTATTATATTTCATATATTCTATTAATAGTCTATATTAAAATCAATCCCCCTCAGGCTAAAACCTTCTCTTGCTGTTCTAATGTTGGAATTTCACTGCTGTTCTGTTGTTACATGGTTATGAAGACCTTCTTCCATTAGCAAATGTGGGCATCTCCCATGACTATGGGACCAGGTAAAGGGGGATGAATCCCAAGCTTTATGTGTATGAGTGTTTTGCCTACATGTATATAAGTGCACCATGTGCATGTAATGGCAGTGGAGGTCAGAAGAGGGTGTCAGATCCTCTAAAACTGGAGTTAAGGATGGTTATTAGCTTCCATATAGGTTCTGGGAACTGATCCTGGGTCTTCTGTGGGTCTCTCCCTCCCCTTGTGGGCCATTGCCACTGACCCATGAGAACAAAGGGAGCAGAAGCAACAAACAGGGTCAGACGGCCAGTGAGGACAACAGAAAAGAGTTTTTTTTTTTTCCCCTAGACTTACCTGGAAGACAGAGGCGAACCATCTACCCAGTGCCATGTGTCTTCATTGTGCAAGTCTGACATCCCCCATCCAGGTTGGTCCTTTAGCCTTAGAAGTCTGCTGCAGGAAGGTCTGTAGGGTGAGGAGAGGAGTGAAGGGAGGAGAGCTCTTCCCTCATGCCCCTCTTTCCACCTTGCATCTCACTAAACTGCTGCAGAAGCTTCTACCTGCAATCTCACTTCACCTTCTCCCACACCGGGCCATGAGTACCCTTGGGTGCTAAGGTGGTTCAGCTGTTTTCACATCTGTATCCCATGAGCAGATGTGCCCTGACACACAGAAGTACAGCAGCCCTTTCCTCACACACACTTGCTAAAGCAGCATGGTTGTCTGTCTTAGAAGTTCTGAGAATGTCCAGAGGAAATCATTCACTCATGACTGGTTTCAATGTGCTGGAACCAGCTCATCTGGGTTCATGGTTGCTGAAGGTGCTTATGGATTCTGTTCAGATGTGCACTGAGAGACGTCCCATAAATGAGGATAACCACCAAAGAAATTGGAAGCACTATGCACCAGGACTTTTTTTGCATATGTCCATGTGTGGTGTCCATATGTGTCATGTGTGTTTATATATGTAGCATGTGAGTAGGTGCATGTGCATATGTGTGTGGAATTCAAAGATTGATATTGGGCATTTTCCTCTACTGCCCTCCACTTAAATTTTAATTAAAATATTTTATTATTTTATTTTACTTTATGTGCGAGTGTATTGCCTGCATTTATGTAAGTGCACCCATGTCATGCAATGCCCATGGAGGTCAGAAAAAAAGTGTTGGATCCCCTGGAAGTGGAGTTATGGGTGGTTTTTAGCTGTCATGTGGGTGCTGGGAACTGAACCCAGGTCCTCTGCAACAGAGGTCAATGCTCTTAACTGCTGAGCCATCTCTCCACCTCCATTTTATTTAAAAAATTGATTTATTTTTATTTTATGTGTATGAGTGTTTTGCCTACATGTATATAAGTGCACCATGTGCATGTAATGGCAGTGGAGGTCAGAAGAGGGTGTCAGATCCTCTAAAACTGGAAGTTTTCACCTTTTATTTTATTATTTTGAAGAGGTAACCCTAAAATCTTTTTGGGATAAGAACTCCCAAATACTTTTAACGTTTTTGGCCTTTGGGATCGAGTACTTTGTTAAAAGGCCCGAAATATTTTATTATTTTATTTTACTTTATGTGCGAGTGTATTGCCTGCATTTATGTAAGTGCACCCATGTCATGCAATGCCCATGGAGGTCAGAAAAAAAGTGTTGGATCCCCTGGAAGTGGAGTTATGGGTGGTTTTTAGCTGTCATGTGGGTGCTGGGAACTGAACCCAGGTCCTCTGCAACAGAGGTCAATGCTCTTAACTGCTGAGCCATCTCTCCACCTCCATTTTATTTAAAAAATTGATTTATTTTTATTTTATGTGTATGAGTGTTTTGCCTACATGTATATAAGTGCACCATGTGCATGTAATGGCAGTGGAGGTCAGAAGAGGGTGTCAGATCCTCTAAAACTGGAGTTAAGGATGGTTATTAGCTTCCATATAGGTTCTGGGAACTGATCCTGGGTCTTCTGTGGGTCTCTCCCTCCCCTTGTGGGCCATTGCCACTGACCCATGAGAACAAAGGGAGCAGAAGCAACAAACAGGGTCAGACGGCCAGTGAGGACAACAGAAAAGACCTTCCAGGGAGTCAGATTCAGTGATACAGCTCCATGTATTCAGTGGGGGTTAGGGAAAAATATAGTGTGGAGGCAGCAGCCAAGCTTCAGCTGATAGGTGTTCAAAGTATGCTTTATTTACATGTGGTAGGGGGATCCTATCATCTGGCTATAGGGCAATGCCTAATTATCATATAGAAAAAACCTGGGGGCAGTTTTATTGCAGGTAACTATGCCAAAGGTCATGTTCCAAAGAAGGTTGGGCATCCATGCTTGGAGGCACTTTCCAGATAAGTCAGGCAGGAAGGCCCTGCTGAGAAAGGAGTCGGCCTTAACAGCAGGGTTGCCCAACATCTTCCCCCTGTTTTGTTTTATAATGGAGAAAGGCCATCACAAGCTTTAAGAGCCAACTCATCTATCTTGGGAGAATCCAAAGTCTGATAATTGGCCATGACCTGATTGGTAATTTTAGCAATGTGACAATTTGTAAGAAATTGTATGAAACAGGGAGCAAGCATCAAAATAACACAGCATAATCAGGGGGATACTAATATTGTAACATTCCCCCCTCTGAAGAGGTAACCCCAAAATCTTTTTGGGATAAGAGCTGCCAAATACTTTTAACGTTTTTGGCCTTTGGGACAGAGTACTTTGTTAAAAGGCCCAAGGGCATTTTGACTTTTAGCCAAGAAAGAAACTGGCTACTTTTCTTTGGGGTCTTTTTACCCTAACTGCTTAGCCAATTCTTACCTCCTATTCTTATCACATGATCTCTGAAGAGGCTTACCCAAATTGCCAATAGGGAATTGGGACACAGACCGCTCTGGCTTCTTCCATGCTGAACAGGGACACAGGGTGAGGCAATTGGGGTACCCCCCTCAGTGAGTCTATCTAAAAGACTCCCAAACTGCATAAGTCTTAACTATAGGGAGAAAAAGAAGGCACTTGACTGGTGCCTGGGAGATGTGAAGGAAAAGTAAAGGTAAGAGTAAAGCAAGAGTAGTTAGTATTACAATTTCTAGGCAGGGAACCAGAAAATGTCCAAATTAAAGTCCATTGGAATTTCTTGATGGGGGCTCCCAAAAGCATCCATCTAACAGGTTTCTTCTCATTTTTCTTTTTTCTGTTAAGGCTGGACTGATGATTGATGAATTCAGGATTTGTTGTTTGGCACTTTGATAACTGTTGGAGTGGCTAGAATCAGCTCCCTCTTAAACAGCCTCTAGAGGGAGAGAGAAAACAAACAGCCATCATTTTGGAACAGTAGTGAATTGTTTCCCTCAGCCGAAGGTGGGAACTACAGTATTGTAGACCAAAATTTAAAGTCCTACACCTGAGTAATACTGTCCTATTAGGAACAAAATCACAAATGATAAACAATTGTCTAAATAACATCTTATAAGAGCTTAATGTCTGGGATGTGTAATCCCTTGAATTCTTGAAGAAATATACTTATGACTTTAATCTTTGGTTATACTCTCCCCATGGGTGTTTAAGGCCATACAGTTGGCCCAAATAAATCAATTTATTTTTACTCTTAAGGCCGTATGAGGATCTGTTCCTCAGGGATCACATGGGCTTGGGTGGAACCCCTGGCTCCTCAGGCTTTTCTTTACCAGTTCCAGCTACATGAAGACAAGTCAAGAGGTCCTGCTTGACCTGGGCTTCAATTGGAAGCATGGAGGAAATGTTTCCTCTGTGTTGACCCTCCTCTTTGCAGACTGGACACTGGTTCAAGTCCATCTTCTGGGGCCTCCATGGCCTCCCTGAACAAGAGGACAAGTGACTCACCAAAGTTACAGGAAATTTTGAGAGATGCCCCTGGAACTTGTTTGACCTTGGAGGGCAAGGAACAAAAATTTGTCCCTTTCAGTCCCTCTGACCAAATTAGTATAGACCTCATAGTATGGCTGTTAAACATCCAAGAAGTTTAGTTCTACCAGTCTGGTACTTGTAATTACCATGTGCTATGTAGATAGAGCTTGGGCAAAACCCAAACATTTTTAAATAAACCTTGATAAGACATCCTTAAACTGGTTGACTAAGCTATGACCTTAGAAATTTTAAGATATTTTCTCATGCTTGATAAATTGTAACAAACCTACACAGACCTCCATCACTTGCTTAGGCTTTCTCATTTTTAACAAAATACCTCCATTCCTGTATCCTTCTAATATCTTTTACCTTACCATTCTCTTTTTTTAATAACCATGAGACATAACAACATTAACAAATAAATTTTCCTTCCATATAGCGCCGAGCCCCTTAGAGCTATCCGGACATGAAGGACTACAACCCTAGCAGCAGGGTTCCCCAACATCAAACCAATGTTTGATTACATTAGAGATTTTCTGGGGAACCAATGAATTTATTGAGCTTAGTTACAGAGATGACTGAGGGGTTGCTAGGGTATATGAGTGACCTGAGAGTATTTACACTGGAAGCCTTAACCCAGCATGGATGGAGCCTTCTCTTCCTAGCCTTTCTCAGATAATACATTTCCATCTGTTGTGAGAATTCTTTTCTGGGGATATTAAGCAATGTTTTTCCCATTTTTAGGTTGTAGTATCAAACCAATATTTGATTACATTAGAATTTTTCAGGTGAGGGTCCAATGACCCTGTTTACCCCTCCTCCTTTAATTACATACTTAAGTCCAGTTGTGATGATCTTTTGTTAGTGGTGGACTGTTGGGAGGTGACCCAACATGGATTAAGCGGTTTTTTTCCTAGCCTTTCCCAGATAATATACTTTAGTCCTCCTCAAACTCAGGAGACCATGTATGATTAGGGCCAAATTACATACAGTTGGTTGGGAAGAGCAGCTGGGTACTCAGGTGAAGGTCCAATGACCCTGTTTACCCCTCCTCCTTTAATTAGATACTTAAGTCCACAAGTCCAATTGTGATGATCTTTTGTTAGTGGTGGACTGTTGGGAGGTGTTAGTATAAGCACAGCCATTTTGTACACTGAGCTGTGGCAGGCTTGCTTGTTTACTTTATGATCTTTTGCCTTGATTCAACAGTTTGTGTGTTTTCCACACAAGTACCGAATTGTTCTGCCAAGTCAGGAAAAATGTGTTGATAATTTAGGGAAGATAGTTAAATGGTGGAATTCACTACAAGTATTTGACTGTTCCTTGACCCTCAGATAAAGGTGGGAAAAAAGAGCTGTTGAAGCTAATTCAGGTAAGCAAACGGTGGCTATCTGATGTTCTACCTTTAATTAGATACTTAAGTCCACAAGTCCAATTGTGATGATCTTTTGTTACTGGACACAGCTGAAGTCATGAAGAAGGTAGTTTCAGAAATAGTGTGCAGCATCATGTTATTAAAAGAACGTGCAATCTAGATGGGGGCTGCAGTCTCTACTGACAGTCCTCCCAAGTATCCTTCTCTGTCTGTTGTTTTTCTTTCATCCTCACTCCCCCTTTCAGGTGCTGTTCATCTTGGCCGGCTGGTACTGGCAGTGGACACAGTTAAGTCATGAAGATGGTAGTTGTTTGACTCAGAAGAAAGTAGTGTGTAGCATCATCTTATTAAAAGAACATAGAATCTAAATTATATACATAATGTAATAAGTTAATATTACCCATGTACATACTGTGTTTTATAAGTTTCCAGGTAAACCTTATAGAAAACATAAGACAGTTAAAAATCTTTTACCTTATGTAGTTTAGAGAGTGGTCTACCAAAACCTTGCTTTAGGTGGAAAAAAAGCAATTGGTGTATAGTTAAACATTGTCAAATTGATGTTTACAACCTCCAGCATAATCAATTCAGGAAAAGAATTTACCAAGCAATTAATATTTTACCTCACATATATAGAGATGAATAATTATCTTAAATATATTAGTCTATTGTATAAACTTTGAGATGTCCTTGTAAGCCTTGACACAGGTTTTAAATGACCAAGTCTCCTTTAAAGGTTTAGAGATGTTTTACACAGTATAGGAACCATGTTGTAATTTAACAATTTTAGTTTACAAGAGAACTTACAAGTCAATTTTATATCTAGTAAACTATTATTTAATAATTGTTTTATTAGTATTAAATATAAATTTATACATTCACAACAGTCTCATTCAATAAATACTATGGTTAGACACAATGTCACAAAAAACCAGTTTCAAAACTAAGACCTATTATCTTGATGAATTTTTTGATCAGATGTATATGAAAGAAACTCTTAAAAGCCAGCAGTATTTTACATATATATATATCCATATCCATACATACATATATATATCCATACACACACACACACACACATATATATATATGACTCTCATCTCAAAATGGCTGTGTTGGACAAAGCCATACACACTGTTGGGGTGGATGGAATGAAGCAACTGGTACATATTTAAGCATTATCAAATTGATGTTTACAGCTTTTAGCATAATCAATTGTGATGCTTTAGTTACTGACTGAGGAATTTTAGGCAGAAGATCTTTTTTAAAAACAAAAATCTATCCTGTTGTTTATTAAGTAGTTAAATTTATCCTTGTATTTACCATACATTTTACATTAGTCTGTGTTAGTGACCAAATAGAGAATCCCATTAACTATTTTTACTATAGACAATAATACCCTCTGTTGAAATTAGTTTACACCTTAGCTGTTTTTAACTGTACAGTGTATTTACTCTTAGGCTGTTTTGTTGTTCTCCTTTTCTTGTCATAGGGTCAGGGGGCCAGACTGAGCTTGAAGAATTTTTGGAGAACATATCTTGATATAATTGGCTTGAGTCTGAAGTGGGAGGGCCAATTCCATCTCCAGAGTCAGTGTCTCAGTGAGCTCAAACAGCATGTGACAATTTACCAATATAATTAATACAAAAGGAATTTTTTCTTCTTTACCCTAACAGTTTTTTGAATTGTTAATCCATATTTTACTTTTAAACTAGGGAAAGGCTGTTAACTCACATGGTAAATTCCTTTGAAGAGGGCTGTCAGTCTGGATTGGAAAAAAACATTTTATAAATTATACATGATCTTGGATTAAGTACCCATGACCTGGGGAATAAGAAACACAGAAAACAATGGTACCTAAAAGAAAATGCAAAGAGACAATATCATAATACTCTTTTCTTTTTAGTCTATGACATTGTAACTAGAAGGTACCCAGGGAATGATGTGACAAAAGGGACAAAAGCAAGCATACAGCAACTGAGCATCAGAGAGGGAAATACTCTATTCCAGAGAAAAACAGGCTTAGAATCACAATGCAGAAAAGGGGACCAGTGGAGTCCGGATCTTAAGTCTCCCATCCACGTAGGCTATCCTTTTTAACCTCTCATTGTTGTAACTATGTGTTGGTAGTAGCTTGTCTCCTGAGGGCTGCTGTAGCCACCACTGTGGCACACCCCCCAGAGGGGGGAGAAAAGTCCACTTGCCATCTGGGTGCGTGCATCACAAAGGCATTTTCCCTCCAAGGGGAAACCCGCAGGGGGGGGGGCGCAGAGGACTAGGGGAGAAAGTCCTCCACCTGGTGTGGTCCTCTCAGATGAGCCTCAGATGAGCCTCTTCCCCAAGAAAAAGTTTATGGAAATAAATGGCTTTTAAAAACTTTTTTCCATTTGTTTATGGCACAAGCTGCCTTAAATTATTAAAGTGCTCCTTGGCCACCTGCTGCTTTAAATCCCTTGTTTTTGTTTACGTTATGGGGCAGGCCAATTTAAATTCTCACCCAATTGGTTCACTTTGAGCCTCAGTGCTTTTTTCTCTCCAGGCAGGTCAATTTAAATTCTCACCTAACTGGTTTAGCTTGAGCCTGAGTGCCTGAGGGGTGAGATAACAAAACAGATAAAGAAGTTTGTTATCTTAGAAGTTGAATTCAATGCTTGTGTGAAAATCCCTGCATGATAGAACTTTGGGGATTCTTTGTTTCTAGGGGTATTGTTCAAGATAGAAAAGGAAAGAGGGTGAATTCCTAGGGGAACATTCCCAGGAACGAAGGACTCAGGGAATTCCTCCTAGTCCACACAGCCCAAGCCTGACTGCAAGTTTCAGAGAACCAGCAACCCGCTCTAAGAGCATGTAACTGGTCGTTGTGTGACCAGTTTTTGTATTAGAAAGATGTATAGATAGGGGGTCTTTACACACGGGCAGCCTTTGGCTAACATCAGGGAGTAGGCCTGATCAGAAAGCTTCAATTGCTCCTTCATCTTTAATAGTCTCATGTGAAGACTCAGACCGAAATTAAAAGGAGGAAAGAGGAAAGACTGCCGATCCTCAAGGGTGAGATGGCCAAGGCAAAGCTGCTGCTACCCTCTTGATAGAGGGGATACTCACAAACTCCATGCATTCCAGGAGCCTCACGTTCGGGTGCCAGCTGTGGGTCACTCCCTCCCCTCATGGGCCATTGGCCACCGACCCACGAGAACAAAGGGAGCAGAAGCAACGAACAGGGTCAGGATGGTCAGTGAGCACGACAGAAAAGGCCTTCCAGGGAGTCAGATTCAGTGATACAGCTCCATGTATTCAGTGGGGGTCGGAAAAATATAGTGTGGAGGCAGCAGCCAAGCTTCAGCTGATAGGTGTTCAAAGTATGCTTTATTTACATGTGGTAGGGGGATCCTATCATCTGGCTATAGGGCAATGCCTAATTATCATATAGAAAAAACCTGGGGGCAGTTTTATTGCAGGTAACTATGCCAAAGTCATGTTCCAAAGAAGGTCAGGCATCCATGCTTGGAGGCACTTTCCAGATAAGTTAGGCAGGAAGACCCTGCTGAGAAAAGAGTTGACCTTAACAGCAAGGTTCCCCAAAAGTCCTCTATAAGAGCAGCTAGTGCTCTTAACTGCTGAGTCATCTCTCCAGCCCTGTCCATTTAAATTTTTTATAATGTTTTAAAAATTGGGGGGTTATTTTGAGATAGTGTCTCCCTACAGCCCCAGCTGGTCTGGAATTTACTATGTGGACTAGGCTGGCCTCAGTCTCTGGCCTCCTGTCTCTGCCTCCTGAGTGCTGGGATTAAAGGTGTGTACCACCACACCTGGCTCATCTGCTTTATTTTTTGAGACAGATTCTCCCACTGGACCTATAGTTCACAAAATCAGGTAGACTAGCTGACCAGCAAGACTGGGAGATCCACCACCTCCACTTCCCAGTGCTGAGAGTAAAACTACTGGCCAGTAGCTTTCATAGAAACAGAAGGTGCTGTGTAGGTTGCTGATGGAAGAAAGTCATCACCAATATTCCCAGCTATGAATCCTGTGAGCTGCAATAATGACTGGTATGGCTAATCTTGGTTGTCAACTTGACACACTTGGAAGTCTATGGCTTTTTCTGGATTGCTAAATGAGGAAGGTGAGCTCAGCCCACTCTTCATCCTTAGGCTGGTGGACCCGGGCTGTATAAGAAAGGTAGCTGAGCCAGATTAGAGAGCTAGCCAGTCAGTACCATTCCTCCATGGTTTCTGCTTCAGTTCCTGCCTCCGGATTCCTGACTTCTGTTCCTGTTTAGGCTTCCCCTGATGTTGGACCATAATTTGCAAGCCAAATAAGTTGACAGTGTTTAATCACAGCAACAGAGAGCAAACTAGGACAGAGGTCTCTCACTGGGCTTGAGCTAGGCTTGCAGCCAGCAAGCCTCAGTGATCCTCCTGTCTGTACCCCTATACTGCCAAAGTGCTGGGCTTATGGACACTTGTGGCTATGCCTGGCTTTTTCCATCAGAGCTGGGGCTCCCACCCCAGGTCCCAATGCTTGAGCAGAGAGCGCTCTTACCCACTAAGATATCTCCATAACCCCAGGCCCAGCTTTGAAAATGTGAGTTCTGGGGACCAAACTCAGCTCCTCATGCTTACAAGGCAGGCAGTTTTCTGACAGCTATTTCCCTTTCTAGAAGGGTATTTATCCCTCAGTGAGAAAGTAGTTAAATACAGGCCCACACACCAAGATATTCATTCCATTTTAGACATTCCCCAAAGCATTCACAAATGCTCAAATCTTGTATCTGATTCTTTGAAGAGTGCTTGGAACCCTTCATTTCTACCCTTCTCTTTCCAAATCTAGTAAGCAGCCTCTTACACATAAAACCTTGTTTGGCAGATTATCACATTCCCAGGTGACCAGCAGCCAGGTGCATGCACCAGACAAGGATGGAGTCCCACCATGTGTACCTGCTCCTCTTCGGTTTCTATGATGACTAATTGGGCTGCTACTACCTGACAGGCGGTGATGGAGTCCTGCCAGTTCCATTGGGAGTTGAAGAAGAAGTAACAGTTTTTGTGGAAGAACGTCCAGTCTCTGGGACAGAGTTGACATAAGCCATCTGTTGGGAGAGGTGAGTCAGGATGGACACACACTTGGATGTCCATGTTCTTGTGTCTCCTCAACTTTCAAGCCCTCCAGAGTCAGGGCCCTCCCTTGGCACTGCACCCTGGAAAGCTGTTCCCCTCTGTGCTTCCTTATCCCTTTCCTCTTCTTGGAGAATCTAGAAGTCCTGGACTCATTTCCTCCAGGATCAGAGAACTAGAGGCCTAGGGGTCAAAACAGAAGCCAGGACTAGCTTAACTGAATACCTACTGCATTCATACCCAAGTGAACACTAAATGTCTACTGTGTTCACAACCCCTGTGAACATAGAGTGCCCACTCTGTACATGGTCCCTGTGAACACTGACTGCCTGCTATGTGCTTGGCTCCTGTGAACAGTGAGTGACTACTATGTGTATGCGCCCTGTGAGCATTCAGTGTATACTGTGCACATACCCCACACCTTTTAATATTGAGTGCCTACTATGTGAAGAGCTCCTTTGAACACTGTCTGTTGCGTGCATGTCCCTTTGAACACAGAGTGCCTACTGTGTCCATGCCCCTCTGAACACTGAGTGCCTATTGTGTGCATGGCCCTGTAAACACCAAGTGCCATCCTTGCTGATGTCCTGTAGTCTCAACTCACAGAGGAGGAAACTGAGGCTCTAAGATGTCTGATGACTAGAGAAAATTGACTTCTCTCTCATGAAGACATTCTTAGGCCCTGGGACCACTGGCTTCCAGTCACTCACCATGGTCTTCAGTCTTCACCTTGATCAGTTCCTGGTAGATTTTCTCCTGATCCTTGGAACTGGAAATGTTGGAGACTTAGACAAGAAAGGAAAAAATAAACTACAATTATTAAATATTTACTGTATTCCATAGCCTGCACTGGGTCCCTAGGAACACTGTCATTAAAAAGGGGAGAGCTGGAGAGATGGCTTAGCATTTTAAGAGCAGAAGCTGCTCTTGCAGAGAACAGGGTTTGGTTACCAGCACCCACATGATGACTAAAACCATCTTTAACTCCAGTTCCTGAGGATCTGATGCCCTATTCTGACTTCTGTGGGTATTGCATGCATATGGCGTACTTGCATACATGGAGGCAAAACATTCATCACACAAAATAATTTTTTTTTAAAATCTTTAAGCCAGGCATGGTGGTGCACACCTTTAATCCCAGCACTTGGGAGGCAGAGGCAGGCGGATCTCTGTGAGTTCAAAGCCAGCCTGGTCTGCATAGCCAGTTCCAGGCCAGCTGGGGCTACAGGGAGACCCTAACTCCAAAAGACAGAAAAAAAAAAACTTAAAAAATTAAGAAAACTGGTTTGGAGAGATGGCTCATTGATTAAGAGCACTAGCTGCTCTTCCAGGGGACCCAGGTTCAATTCCCAGCACCCACATGGCAGCTTGGTGGCTAACAACTGTCCTAACTCCAGTTCCAGAGGATCTGACACCCCCTTCTGACCTCCACAAGCACTGCATGACACGGGTGCATTTACATGCACACAGGCAATACACTCACATGCATAAAATAAAAATAATAAATTTTTAAAAATTTACAAAGAGCGCTAGATGTTCTTATAGAGGACTTAACACACACATGATGGCTAAAACCATCCATAAGTCTAGTTCCAGGGGATATTACGCCCTCTGCTGGCCTCCATGGGTATTGCATGCACATGGAGCACCTTACATACATGCAAACACTGAAACACATTAAATTTTTTTTTCATAGTTTAGATTCAAGGTAGGGGAAATAGAGTAACTTACAAAGGTGAACACCCAGCACCCCGTTCCACTCTGTGGCTCAGTGGCCTCCTGTTCCAGATTGCCTCTGTGCCCCGCCCCCTGTCTCCATTAGCTTTCATCCATGCCTCATGGGGCTGCGGTCTTGACCCAGGTCGGTAAATGCCTCCTGATGAGTCTAACTATGTTGTTAAGGATTCCCACAGTACTGGGTACAAATGCTTGTCCTGCCTCAGCTTCACAATTAGTTACAACTTCAGGCTTGTGTTACCACCCCAGCATCTAAGACAGCTTCTGACCAATGTCTTGTTTTATCCCACTTGAAGATTAGGAAACTGAACACTCAGAGAAGGCTTTACCATAAGGAGAAATGGAATCAGGATCCTTTCCTGCATCTCTTTCCTCCCATCTCTTACACCCTGGGATGTTCTTAGAGGCCACTGAAGGTTATGTTACCAACTTGCACTCCCCATTTCCCTTCTAGACCTATGGCCCTAGCTGAAGGCCCAGATCAGAGAGCCAAACCCTCCACTGTGCCTGACCTTGGGCAAGTGTGATCACCAGCAGCCCAACCAAAAACAGGTAGGCAAGTAGCTGAAGAACCAAAGGGATGAAGCCATGTCTCTCTCAGACTCTCTGTAGGGGAGAAAGTGGGGGTTTCACAATCACAGTACCCCAGGATAGATTTACTGCCACCATCCTCCCCCAGGACCCAAAAGGTCAAAGTCCTAGTCTGGTCCTTCTCATGATCCATGATTCCATTCCTTAACCTCTGCCTCCTCAGGACCCAGGAGTTCAGAGCCCCAGCCTCCACCTCCTAATGGTCCACGATTCTATTCCCCAGACTCCACTTCCCCAGGACTTAGAAGTTCAGAGTCCCAGCCTCTATCTCCTCATGGCATGATTCCATTTCCTACCCTTCATCTTCCTTGGACCCAGCTTCCACCTCCCCATGGTCCATGATTCTATTCCCTAGCCTCTGTCCCCAGGATCCAGAAATCCAGGGTCTCAGTCTCTAACGTCCCAAGACCACTTTTTGGAGGGCCTCCCCACTCTTCCTCAGCCCCTCTTCCTGAAGTACCTGTCCAACTATGAAATCTATAATTTGGTCCTAATCCAGAGCTGTCAACAGAATACCTGGTGCCACTACCCATGACTCTTCATCTTCTGAAAAGACAGATCAGTCAGGGATGCCCCCTATGGATTCCCTTCCTAAACTCCCAGAGTCCTAGTCCATCCTCACCTGGGGCACCCAGCCACTGTGTCCTTGCTTCTGTGGATTCACTCATGGTAACCCCTAGTGTCTGGGACTGCCAGAGACCACAGCTTTTATTTTCCTATCACCTGATGATCACTCTCTGGGTGTTCTAATAGTCAGGAAGAGAAAAAAAGAACTGAGTGTGGATTGCAGAAGAGCCATAGCGTGGGGCTGCCCCTCTGACTCAGCACGTCCCGTGCCAGATAACCAAGGACTCTTTTGGGAGACGTTTGGAAGGTTTGGGATTCGCAGCAGAAGGGATCCAGTCTATTCTTGCATGGTATGATGGTGTGACCAAGTTATGGGATGCTTTTATCAAAGCCAATAGCCTACACAATAAATCTACTTAGTTATACATTTCCACCTATGTTGAGGGTCAAAGAGCAAGACCTCATATTCCAGGCAATTCTGCCCCGATGTAACCAGGCTGTGTTGATTTGTTGCCATCCTGATTCAAGGTGATTTCTGCTGATGTTGGTGTTCTGATAGAATCACCATGCTCCTATTAGTTTAATGCCTGCTGCATATGTATTCATTTCACGTCCCACACACTGTGATTCATGATCGGCTTTCCATCTCACAGTTATGAGAAACTGCATATCCAAATTAGATAACTGGCCCATAGTCACACCCCTGGCTCATGGTGAACCTGGGATTTGAATACAGGTAGTCTGCCTCTACAGTTCATATAGTAAACCAAGAAGAATCAAATAGCCCCTAGGGAGGTACAAAAAGCCTCCTAAATACTCAATTCAAAGTTGGAAAATTGGAAAAACCCAAATGGCCAGGATGTATTGAATGTAAAAGGGTCACATCATTTTTCAACCTCACAAACTGGAATACTTCAATGGTAAAAAAGATGTGGAAGCATGCAACAATATGAGTAAAACCCTCAGAAGAATGAAAGAAGTCAAATACTGTGTGACACTCTTCCTGGGGAGACATGAACAAAAGTCTACTCACCCTTGGCAACTACCAACAGACCAAAGCAAGGGTACCGCCAAAGTCCAACTTGGTGAGCCAATAAATTTTATTGGGGTTACTTACAGGAGTATGAGTGAGGGGTTACCTACAGGAACAGAAATGACTCAATGACAGCTGCATCACCAAAGTCCACTCCAGCATGGGTGACAGCTCAGGAAAGCAGGAAACCTTGAGAGCAGAAAAAGAAAGGAGTTTAAAGTTTAGAAGTAAGGGTCAGAGCCAGACCCGCAATAGGCAAGGGATGTGCTCCCTGGATTCAGAAACTCCAGAAAAGGGCTAATAGCTGTTCTTGAAGAATGATTCTCTGTGCCCCAAACAGGGAGCAGTCTGGTCTTACAGAGGAACTCTGCTGCACACAGTTGCAAGTGTTAACTCAGTGCCAGGGTCTGGTGTCCTTGAAGGTCTCTTCTTTGAAGATTATTTGCTCAGGCAGGCAGGTGAGTTATCTGTAGCACTAAAGGAGACAGGTGGGCTCCACAAACAGTCTCTCTCAGTCCCAGGAGTGACCAATTGATAAGGCTTGAGCAAGGCCAAACTTGAGCAAGGCCAAGCTGCCAATTTAGGGCCAGTTAGACACTTTGAGGGACTAATGGCTTTATGGCCTCCTCTAATGAAGCTTATGGCTCCCCTGAAACTCACATATTCTATCACACTGCACAACCAGCAGGTAGCTCAACAGGTTGGAGTGAATCTTTTCCAGGTAGCTTAGCTGATCTGAGCCTCTCCCAGGTGGCTCTGCTGGTCTGAGAGTCTTTCAGCAGTCTTTATTGCTTATATCTACTAGGGGAGGGAGGCACCTAGTGTTCATAGTCAATTTCAGGGACTTCCTGAAGCCATAAGTTATTTACTTCCTAAGCTTAAGGAGCTTCCCTGGGAGACAGAATGTTGCACCCCCCCTCAAAACACCTTGTTGTTCATTGACCTTCAGACATCCTGTTGTTTACTTCCCTCTAGAACATCCTGTTGTTCACTCAGCCTCCTTCCAGGATGGAAGGTTGTACCTCAGAGAAAATTGCTGTAAAACAAATGTGCACAGTACATACAGCAAGCTTCTATTTCATATGAATTTCAAGGCCAAGAAGAACTGATTGCTCTCTCTCTCTGTGTGCATGTACATGTTCACATGTGTGTGCATGTGCACATGTGTGCATGTAGATTCCAGAGGTCGACACCAGGGGTCTTCCTATATCACTCTTAACCTTATTTTCATTAAATTGCACACATACGTTTATTTTCATTAAATTGCACACATACGACACCAGGGGTCTTCCTATATCACTCTTAACCTTATTTTCATTAAATTGCATTTATTTATTGTGTTTGTGCACGTATGTGTGACACAGTATATGTTTGGAGGTCAGGGATAATTTGGGGAGTTGGTTGTCTCCTTCTACTTCACAGGACGTGGGGCTCAAACTCAGATCATCAGGATTGGTGGCATGCACCATTACCCAATGAGCCATCTCATTGACCCTCATCCTTTTATTTTATTAATTTTAATAGCTTTTGAAATTGAATTTTTTGAATTTCATACAATATATCCTGATCTCATATTTAGATCCCCTCCCCAACTACACCCAATTTCATGCACTCTAATATATATGTGCATATATATGCACATATACATACACAAATATCTATATTTATATCTGTATCTATATAGCTACAGATAGATATGCTTATAGAGTCAAATTTGTGTCCCCAAGTACCTTTTGGTGTGGGTTTATGCACTGATGCCTGGACAACCTCTCAGCGGCCCTCAGTTGCCAATGGCTCCTCAAGTAGAGTTGAGATTTCTTTCCCATTTCCTCGTGTTTATGATGGGATTTTGTCTGGCTTGAGCTTATATGGAACTTGAGCATGCTGTCACCATTGTTATGAGTTCATATGAATAACTGCCCAGCTGTTTAGAAAACTCTGTTTCCTTGTGGTCATTCACCTCCTCTGGCTCTTACAATCTTTCTGCCCCCTCTTCCACAATGATCCCTGAGCCTTGGAAGACAGAGGTTTGATCTAGGTGTCCTATTCAGGGATAAACAGTCTGTAACCTCTTATTCTCTGCATGTTGGCCAGTTGTGGATGTGTATGTTAATCACAATCTGCTGGATAAGAAGCTTCTCTGGTGAGAGTTGAGAGATGCATTAATCTATTGGTATAACAATAAGTCACTTGGAGTCAGTTTAATACTATAACTATTTAATAGAATCATAGGATATCCCCTATGGCCTGTGGCCTGTGGGCTGTCTAGCTTCAGGTTGCTAGGCATGATAAGAATGTCAGGTATGGGTTCCTTTCTATGAGGGATTACTTAGATTCAATTAAAAAGTGGTTGGTTACTCATATAATATTTGTGTCACTACCATACCAATGGGCGTATCTTGCCGGGCTAGTTGTTGAAGTTCACAGGGTTCACAGCTGGGTAACGCTGATGCTTGACTTTTCTCATTCGATAGCATGGGTAACATCTTCCAGTGCTATGAAAGCTAGCCAGTAGAGATGAGGCTTTGAAGTCAGTACAGGTTGATTTCTCTTTGTTTGTTCTGGGGTTCATCTATGGAGTGTCTTCAGCAATATGGTCTTACCATCAAGTTCTGGTAGATAATTAAAAGCAAGGGCAATGGTCAATATAGTTTGAAGGTCTATGGGACCCCTGGTCAACAGCTTCAAAAGCAGGAGTCCATTCCAGGCATTGGGCTTTTACTTTGATAGCTTATGGTCTTCACCTTATTTTTGAGACCAGTTCTCTCACAGAATCTAGAACTCAAAGATTCAGCTAGATTGTCTAATAAATTCTAGGCATCTTTCTGTCTCTGTCTCCCCAATGCTGGGATTACAGATGTGTCCTGCCATGCTTGAATTTTTACATAAGAGCTGGGAATCCTAACTCAGGTTCTCACGCTGATGTGCAAGCACTTTACTGACTAAGCCATAGTCCCAGCTCTCTAATCCTTGATAATAACTTGAAATTTAGGTTGCCTTAATGGGGGAAAATGGGAATTAACTAGGCGAATGAGGTCTGAAAAGACTTCAACATGCTAGAAATATTTGATAATTCGATCAGAGAGATGATCTTGTGAGTTCATGCATATATGAAACTGTCTAGGCAGATATTAAAGATCCATGTATTATGTTGTATGTGTGGTATAGTCTCAATTTAAAACCAGAAAGTATGAATCACAATTGATGAGTATGAGTTTTTGGCCTTGTACTTAATTTTTTTTTCTTTATTTTTCTCTTTATTATTTTTCTTTATTTATTTTTAGCTTTTACAAAAACTTTATTGAGAATTTCATACATGCATATAAGGTGTTTTGATCAAATCCATGCCCACTCCCTCCCTTCCAACACCTCCCATGTCTCCCCATCACTTTTTTCTTTTTCTCTTCTTTTTTCCTTCTTTCTCAGGAAAAGGTGCCACATCCCCTAGAACTGGAATTATAATTGTTAGCCACCATATGGTATGTGCTGAAAACCAAACTTGGGTCTGATGCAAGAGCAGCTATTAACCATAGCTCATGGTCATCTCTCCAGCAGCACCACCACTCTCTAGAATTTGCTGTGGTGATGGGTTTTGTTCCCCATAACTGCCTAGCCAATTCCTACTTCCTATTATTATCACACCATCCTCTGAAGAGGTTAACCAAATTGCCAATAGGGAATTGGGACGCAGCCCACTCTGGCTTCTTCCATGCTGAACAGAGATGCAAGGTGAAGCAATT